TTGTATTCGGAATGTTCTCCAATGCTTTAGTCAACAATCGTGTCACTGAATTCGATCTTGACGTCTCATCCACAGCACACAATGTTGCCGTAGCGGCTCAGCTCTTTTTTCCTGCTGTTCGTTTGGTTTCGTGGATACCAATCGCACCACAGAAAAATGTCCTAACCGGCTGTAGAGGGAGAAAAGTAGAAGCCGACCTAGACAAAACTGTTTTTTAGTCCAGCTGAGTCCCTTTCCTGAGTACTCAGAGACACGCCTCTACATCCGCATTCGACAGTGTTTGGCAATTCCGACTGAATTCAGTCAATCATCCTTTTTATGTTTTGTACGTTTATGCGAAATGCAACGCAGGCTGCCACACACCGGGCTTACCGGGTTGTCCATGCGTTTTTGCACTAAACTTGTAGCAGTTAGATTTTTAACGGCATGAACAATTTCTGATGTTATAGTTTAACACCTGGATACATGTAGGCTGTTTTTTGGCTTTTTTTTTGCATGCAAAGGAAAAAGGGATGGTGTTTTTATGCGTTTTTGCTGTATGCGATAATACGCATTTTTGATCGCCGCAGCAGCGATATAGTCTGCGCGATGAACAAAAACGCATATTATTGAGAAGTCGTCCGTCCATGTGTATGTGTTCGTAAGCAAGTGAACTTTGTCACTCACTTTCAACTCAGCAACCAGGAAACATAGGCGGATCCAAGGTTTCTTGGGGGAGGCGGCGATTTTTCACCTCACCTTCCTTCGTCACCACAACTCCCCCTTCAGGCAGCTCTCAACCCACCCTTCGCTCGCCGCACAACCCCCCCATCCTGCCTGAAACATTTCACTGCACTCCCTCCTCCCCTCTCGAAGGCTCCTGGGGGCCACAGGGGGTTCCAAGTAGATTTTTCTACAGTAAAGTATCTGCTACCTAAACCTCTAAGGGGGAGGGGGAAGGGCGAAAGATCCTTCTTATCCCCCACTCCCACCCCGCCTTTCCGTCCCTGGATCCGCCAGTGCCAGGAAAGCTGGGAGCTGAAATTTTGGGGTTTTTGATGCGGATACGCGGGCAGGGAAAGGACCGAAGTACTGACTGCTTCCAAAGTGGTCTTGTAGTGGGGATGGAGAGGAGCCCAGATGTTGCTTTGCAGACGGGATTTAAGGACAGACTTTAGAGAAGGGGAAGGAGGATACAAATCAGGAGCTCGAGAAAAAGCTGTAGACAGCAAAGAGGAAGAGAAAACAAAGCACTACAAAAACCAAACTACAACGCACCAGCCTTATCGGTGCGATCTGCTTTTTTGCAGCAAACTTGAAGTGCTCAGGTTGCAAACTGCATGAATGGTTGCTGCTTTACTTCCGTTTAACGGTCATTCTTTGAAAATGACTTTGCTATTCAGTCCTGAAAGCTGAATTTGAAATATTTAATTTGAACTTGGACAGGGAACACTCCCCTAAAATTTCAGCTTTCTAGCTTCTCTAGTTCCCGAATTAGTAATTTTTCCGCCAAAACTTTCACATGCCCGTATGTAAGTACTACGCGTGCCGGAGAGGGGAGAGGGTGAATTTGAAACCTTTAAGTTGTACGTTAACGGGGAATATACCCTTAAAATTTCAGTCTTCCAGCTTTTTTGGTTGCCGAATTAGCAGATTTCCTGACAAAACTTTCAGGTACGTGAGAACCACGCACATCCAGGAACCGAATCTGAAATCTTTGGATCACAAATGCACAGAGGATATCCTTGCGGAGTTTCAGCCCTTTATCCTTTCTGGTTCTCGAAATCACCTTCCCGCCAAGAAATTTGCATATGTTTTTAAGGCTCCTGTACGTGGTACCCAGCCGCACGTGAATGATGATATTAAAACGGGAGGGTGACACTTGTGTGGGAACATAACCTCAAAATTTTAGTCTTATATTTTCCTGGTCAAGTTGAAAATGGGTGTCAAAGTTGA